AATCCTCTCACCTCCGCCTCCCAAAGTGCTGGGATTATAGGTGTGAGCCACTGTGCCCAGCAGTTTTAACTCTTATGTTTAGATCTTTGATCCATTTTAATTTTTTGTATGATATAAGGTAACGAGTTTATGTTTTAAAGTAGACTCTTTGTTTATGATTTCTAGATTTCATATTTTATGTAAAAAGGGCCTTATACCCTCAAGATGATAAATTTATGCTTCTCTTTTTTAACATTCTTCCAAGTAAAGACCTTGTTACACTTAGATATATACTTAGAATTAATTTTTGTATATGAAATGAGACAATGATAGTCTCATGGGAAAAACCAGCTTTTCCCAAACTATCTTCTTGAATATGTTTCCTTTATCATATACTGAGTTCTCATATGTATTTGGATCTGTTCTGGATTCTGAATATTGTCTATTACTGTAAATATGCCATTTTAATTACTGTAAATTTATTATGTGTTATACATTCTGGTAGGACAATATCCCTTGATTAGTTTCTTCCGTAATCACTAGTCTCTACTACTTTCTGACAGTCTTTTCTGCCTACCTCGCCCTGCCTTGTCCTCCTTACCGTCTCCTTCCCATTTCCTCTTTTTCCCTTCAGTGTATTTAGATAAATTCTCCTAAAGTAATGCTGCAATCATGTTATAAGCCTTCACAGAAACCTTCAATGGCTTTCTGTTTCTTAAAGCGTAAAAATCTAAACTCCTAGGACTGATATTCAAAGTCTTCTGTGGTCAAGCCTCTACGTCTCTACCTTTTCTTCTCCACTTCTCCACATAAAACTTCAGCTGAGTAGGCTATTTGTTTTCTAAATTTGCTATTCAATTTCCTGCCTCAGAGTCTTGTCTCTTCTGACCAACTTTACTTAAAGGCTAACTACACCTGTAGTTTCAGCTCCTTGGAAGGCTGAGCTGGAAAGATTGCCTGAGCCCAGCAGGTCAAGGCTGCAGTGATTGTGAGCATGCCACTGCACTCCAACCTGGGCAACAGAGTGAGACTCTGACTCAAAAAAAACCAAAACCAAACCATCTATATATGGGGGAGGCGGGGAGGCCCAGCACGGTGGCTCATGCCTATAATCCCAGCACTTTGGGAGGCCGAGCTGAGAGGATTGCCTGAGCCCAGGGGTTCGAGACCAGCCTGGGCATCTTGGTGAGACCCCATCTCTACAATAAATCAAAAAATTAGCCGGGCGTGGTGGTGTGTGCCTTCCAGCTACTTGGAAGGATCGCCTGAGCCCAGCAGGTCGAGGCTGTAGTGGCTGGGAGCGTGCCACCGCCCTCCAGCCTAGGCAACAGAGTGAGACTCCTACTCAAAAAAACCCAAAAGTTATATATGTGTGTGTGTGTGTGTGTGTGTGTGTGTGTGTGTGTACACACACACACACACACACACACACACACATATTTATAAACAGATGAGAGGGTCATATATTCAGATGAGAAGAGCAGATCAGGAGGTAAGCCACATAGGCTTAAGTTGAAGGCAAGCTGGCTCGAAGTGGAGTATTAATTTTGACTGCTGAATTAAGCCCAAGATCCTGTTAGAGCTGAATGCCTCAGATGATGCTACAGGGTGCTTGTTTCCTTTAAAGAAGACTTACTTGTGTCAACCAGTATATCCTATGCCTACTTAAATCTACCCAGTTAATTCTCTTTTCTAAGGATTAGCCTTTTTTATTTTTTTATTATTTTTTTTAAGTTGGAGTCTCACTGTGTTGTCCAGGCTGGAGTGCAGTGGTATGTTCATGGCCACCACAGCCTCGTCATGCTGGCCTCAGGTGATCCTTCTGCCTCAGCCTTCCAAGTAGTTGAAACTACATACGTGCGCCACCACGCCCAGCTAATTTTTTGATTTATTGTAGAGATGAGGTCTCACCATGTTGTCCAGGTTGGTCTCAAATCCCTGTACTCAGACAGTCCTCTTTCCTCCACCTTCCAAACTGCTGGGATTACAGGCATGAGCCACCATACTGGGTAGATTAGCCTATTATATCTGGTTCTTCACTTGTGGCTGTTTGTATCCCCTTACTATGAGAGTTCTTAGGTAACTGAATGTTCTTTGGATGTATTATGGCTCTTTAGTGATTCAAGGACTATCTCAGATTCCCGTTTGTTTCTGAATTTCCCTTATTAGGATGTCTAATAGCCCTCTGGAACTAAAGTCAAAGGTAAAGACCCAAAACCTTCTGGACTGAACCTTGATATCTTTCCCTTCCTTACTTCTGTAGATGATTTGATCCAGGATGAAGGCCAACCCAGTCACTGGTATAGAGTGGAAAGTATATAGATGACTGGGTTGCTTTTTAAATGACTAGATGAATTAATCTCAAATTATCATCAAAATATCTATATCCATGACTACATAACAAATATACTGAACTGGAAACTGCCTTGAAACAAGCATTCATTAGTGTTAAGACCATATTACATACTATGTCCATGTCACAGCACAAAGATTCCTCAAAATATAATAGTGAATCTCCTTTGTAGCAAAATGAGTTGCAAAAATAGTGTCTGCCTTCTAGATTAAAAGTTTTCTTTCACATTTTTTGCTGTCTTTTGGGATTATCATTTGTAGTCTTGAGGAGAGCAAGTATCTGTTGGAAGTGAATTCTACTAGGTTTTTATTTGCATGAGACTTTGCCAGCATAATTGCTTGTTTGTTGTGTTTTAGGAAAGCTACTTGAGAAATGTACAGTTCTAGGGTCACATGTGACTAATGAAACAGTTGATCTATTTTATTCCAGAAATAGATGAAATGTCCAGTGGGGATTATTGTCTTTATTTTTATTTTATTTTATTTTATTTTTTGAGTTGGAGTCTCACTCTGTCACCCAGGCTGGAGTGCAGTGGCACGCTCACGGCCACCGTGGCCTTGACCTGCTGTGCTCAGGTGATCCTTCTGCCTCAACCTTCCAAGTAGCTGGAACTATAGGCACTCACCCCCATGCCCAGCTACTTTTTAAAATTTATTGTAGTGATGAGGTCTCGCCAAGTTGCCCAGGCTGGTCTTGATCCTGTGGACTCAGGCAATCCTCTCACCTCAGCCTCCCAAAGTGCTGGGATTATAGGTGTGAGCCACTGCACCTGGCCAGAAAAGTCTGTTTTGGAGACAGAACCTGGATGCTTTCTCTTTATTGAATACAATAAAATCCTCCTTGAGATAGATCTTAGTAAGGTTGTCAGTTGTATCCAGAATCCAGGATTAGTATTAGTCAGTGTCTCTATCATTTAAAAAGAATAGTTTAACTTTACTACAGACTTGAAAAAGAGACCTCTTATTCTGTACTTCTTCCTCTTCCATAGTTCCAGCCTTAACTGCTTTGTATTGGGCATTTCTTCTAGGAAACCAAGCTCTAATGCATATTATCTTATTATTTACTGCGGCTTGAGATTTTTGGTGTAGGTCATAGATTCTTTGACTGAATATAGGTTAACATCACATTAAAGAAACCCATGGGGTCGGGGGAGGGAAGGCGGAATTCGCCATAGTGAGAATCTGCTGGGGGAGGTGAGGCACACCACATCAACAAGGGTACCTGCACAATGAATATTTGTATACCTAACCCTGGATCATACCCCACATCTTTAATATAAAAAAATTAAAAGAAAAAGAAGCCCACAACAAAAAATCATGGTATCGTGCATAGCAATCCATCTCCTAATAAAAAGATGATTTGATATATTTGTGTAAAATATACACTTAGGACACTAAAATATGATTTAACCTAATTCAGAATTACAAATGCCTTGTCAGGAATACATATAAAACATTCAAGTATTTGCATTAGATATATCCAGGAAAACATTATTTATGTATGTATGTTGGAGTCTCACTCTGTCACCCTGGCTGGAGGGCAGTGGCATACTCCTGGCTACTGCAGCCTCAACCTGCTGGGTTCAAGTGATCCTTCTGCCTCAGTCTTTCAAGTAGCTGGAACTACAGGCATGCGCCACGATGCCCGGCTAATTTTTTGACTTATTGTAGAGATGAGATCTCGCCAAGTTGTCCAGGCTGGTCTCAAACCCACGGACTCAGGCAATCCTTTCACCTTGGCCTCCCACAGTGCTGGGATTAAAGGTGTGAGCCACCGCACCTGGCCTGAAAACATTTTTTAAATACTCAGTAACTCACAAAATCACTGTTTATACATTTTCCATCTAGTTTGGAACTATCTGTGTGTGGCAGGTTGCTTGGTTGGTATTTCCTGCCTCATAGCGTGCCATGCTGTACCGGCTATCTGGCCAATGGAAGGAATAGCTATGGGAGATTAGAAGCCCTGTGGGAAAATTCTTTTTTATGGTTATGTTGTATGAGTAAGGGGCTCTTTGGAGCTTTTAATTAAAATATGCTTTCCATTCAGGAAATTGCTTTTCAAATGAAAAGATTTGAATACCAACACTTGATAAAGAAGCTTGCAGAAATCTATTAAGTAAATAAGTGTTACAGATGTCATGTCACTTAAATTGATTTTGCAAACTGCTTCTTTGTGAAGCAATTTCTAACGTTGAATAATGCTAAATGCTCACAGTGATGTTATAAGATTTGAGATTTTTATAATAAACTATTTTATTGCCACATTTTTTTTCTGATTTCTAAAATTTTTAATATTTAAGCATTTTTAGTTAAAAGTGACTGATAGAGATTCTGCTATTAGAGAGGTTTTTATTTACCATGAAGAGACATGAGATTTGCTGTGTGTTGATGATTTATATAGAGACTTATCTCTGAAAAAACTTGCAATTTTTGTGAGTCACTTGATAGTTAATATTCTAAGACACTGATAAATCATTTATAAAATAATTTCCTCTCAGTTTTATTCACTTACATGTTTGTTTTTTCATTGTACGAAGGATAGTTTTAGGATGAAAGATTTAGGTTAATGGGCAGAAAAAGGAAAAACAAAAACCCTGTGGTTAATAGATATAATGGTGACTGTTGAATACTTTAAGGTGAATGTTTTTCCATTTTATTGTTACATACAGGGTATATTTACTTCTGGCACATGGGAAGAGAAATCAGATGAAATTTCCTTTGCTGATTTCAAATTCTCGGTAACTCATCATTATCTTGTACAAGAGTCCACTGATAAAGAAGGAAAGGATGAATTATTAGAAGGTAAGTTTTTCCTACGTATTTTTAACCCTGACTTTTAAGAGTGATATAATTTGAATTATGAATATCCTTAATTTAGTAGTATCCTCTGAAAATGTTTTACATATGCAGAGTTATTTCATCACATCTGAAGTAGAGCATGAGGTAGTACTGCATCTGAAGTAGAGGAAGAATTACAGTGCTATGCATTTTAAAATTAATCAAATTAGCATGTATTTTTTGGAGTACCTTATATGTACTAGGTACTCCGCCGAGCCCTGTTGAACCCAAATTTAAATGAAACTTACATTCCATTAGAGGAAATCGGATGGATAAGTAAGTGACAGAAGTAGGAGGTAGAAAGTGGTAAATGGCATCCCAAGTATAGATAAAGTTTACTGGAGTTGAGAGGAAAAAAAATACCACTTTTTTTTTTTTTTTTTGAGTCAGAGTTTTACTCTGTTGTCCAGGCTGGAGTGCAGTGGCATGATCACAGCTCACTGCAGCCTCAACCTCCTAGGCTCAGGTGATCCTCCCATATCAGCCTCCTAAGTAGCTGGGACTACAGGTGCATGCCACCACACCCAGCTAACTTTTTGATTTTTTTGTAGTTCTGAGGTCTTGCTATGTTGCACAGCTGGTCTTGAACTCCTGAGTTTTAGCAATCCTGCATGGGCCTCCCAAAGTGCTAGGATTATAAGCCTGAACCTCTGCACCTGGCTCCTTTTTTTGATTTTTCTTTGTAGAAATGAGATCTCACTACGTTGCCCAGCTGGTCTTGAACTCCTAGGCTCAAACAGTCTTCCCTCCTTGGCCTCCCAAAGGGCTGGGATTACAGGTGTGAGCCACTGTGCCCAGCCGAGATCACTTTTAGTTAGGAGAGATTAGAGAAGGTGTTATGGAGAATAAAGTAAGTAAGCTGGGTTTTGAAGGCTTACGAATAAAGGAAAATTTGTCTACTGATTACACAATGTAGTATTTTGGTTACACTCTAGATTTTAGAGTCAGATCAAGTAGATTAAAATTCTGGTTTTTCTGCTTGCTAGTTACTTGACCTTTCTATGCTTGAGTTATCTCATTTCTAAAATGAAATAATACCACCTGGAGGGTTAATGTGAAGATTTAATGAGATATTGTACAAAGTAACTTTCTCAGTACCTGACCCATGCTAAGTACTCATTAAATGGTGTTTATAATTTTTAATGTGTCAGATCATCCCATTCATCTGTCCTGAGGTATACTAGTATAAAACAGTGAGTGAGCAAGGTATTAAATAAACATGAATTTTGGAACTGTCAGGCAAATACCCTCCTTTGTTCACTCAGCAAATAGGCAGAATGTGTGTTAATGTTTTTCTGATTTAAACAGATTGATTTGGGTTTTTTTGGTTTTATTATAATTATTATTTTTATTATAAAGATGTGGGGTACAATTCAGGGTTGGGTATACAGACATTGATTATGCAGGTACCCTTGTTGATGAGGTATGCCCCTCTCTTCCCTAGCAGTTCCCCTCAACTGCCAATCCCACCCCCTCCCCTGACAGTTTCCCACTACTGCCAATCCTTTTCTTATAGTATTATAATTGTTCAAGGTCCGCTTATGAGTGAGAAACATCTTTGTTTCTGTGATAGATCACTATGATTGACTTCAAATCCATCCAAGTTGCTGCGAAGTCCATATATTTGTTCTTCTTTATGGCTGCATAATATTCCATTGTGTATATGTACTACATTTTCTTTATCCAGTCCAGCTTCGATGGACAATATGGTTGGTTCCATGTTTTTGCTATTGTGAATAGAGCTGCAACAAACATATGTGTGCAGGTCTCTTTTTTGTAGAATGTTTTGAGTTCCTCTGGGTATATTCCCAATAGGGGACTTGCGGGGTCATATGGAAGGTCAATTTCTAGTTCTTTCAGAAATCGCCACACTGTCTTCCAAAGAGGTTGTGCTAGTTTGCATTCCCACCAGCAGTGTAGAAGCGTTCCTTTTTCTCCGCATCCTCGCCAGCATCTGTTGCTGTTTGTTTTCTTAATGATGGCCATTCTTCCTGGGGTTAGGTGGTATCTCCATGTGGCTTTGATTTGCATTTCTCTGATGGTGAGTGAGGCTGGGCACTTTTTCCTGTGTCTGTGGCTGCCTGTGTATCTTCTTCTGAGAAGTGTCTATTCATATCTTTTGTCCACTTTTTGATGGGGCTGTTTGTTGTTTTTCCTTTCAGCGCATTTGAGTTCCTTGTAGATCCTAGATGTTAGACCTTTGTCAGATATACAGTTGGCAAATATTTTTTCCCATTCTGTGGGCTGTCTCCCTGCTCTCTTGATGGTTTCTTTTGCTTTGCAGAAGTTTATTAGTTTGATGAGGTCCCACTTGTCTGTCTTAATGTCTCAAGGTATTGGCCTTTAGGTAAACAGATGGATTTGTAAGTGCAGACCTGAAATATCTGTGCCTTTTCTTATGAGGGAATAGAATTATATTACCTTGACTATTATATATATTTTTCTTACAAACATAACAATTAGATAACATCCACATTTAGATTCATAAGTTAGGATAGATAACATAGACCATATATACCATATATACACTTAAGTGAGACAATTATACAGCAAAATAAAATAATTAAGCCAGAACTTTAAGAGTAAGGAGAAGTGGGAAATGTATGCAGTTGGTGGGTGGTCTTATAATAACCCAGGAATTTCCAAGTTCAACATTCTACTGATTAAGGAAGGAAACTGTTTAAGATAGCAAAATTTTAAGTGCTATTAATTTAAGGAAAGATCATACATCAAGGAAAAACTTTTGTAGTAAGGAGGCTTCAGATCAGTGTTTCTGAGATGAACAGATGAAGAGGACTGTGGTGTAAGAGGAGATGAATGGGGCCAACATGGTGACTCATGCTTGTAATGCCAGCACTTTAGGAGGATTGCCTGAGGCTACGAGTTCAATACCAGCCAGGGCAGCAGAGCAAGATCCCTGTCTCTATTTTAAAAAAAAGATAAGAAAAATTAGCTGGGCACGCACCTGTAGTACCAGCTACTCAGGAGACTGAGACAGGGGAATCCACATGAGCCCAGGAGGTTGAGGCTGCAGTGGGCTATGATTGCAACACTGCACTCCAGCCTGGGTAACAGAGGGAGACCCTACCTAAAAAAAAAAAAAAAAGAGAGAGAGAAGATGAATGAGTTTCAGCTAGTTAATGCATTGTTTCATGTGTGTATGTACTGTGCGGTTTCCTTCTAATTTGGCTGTGCTTGAAGCTGTAACTAATGATGGTAGTTACAGGCAAACCATCAGCTCAGATTTAGAAATACACATTTAAAATTATATTATCAGGTCAAAGATTTGAACAGTGATCATTAATTTTGTTGGAGTTGCCTGTTGCTTTTGGTATGAAGAACATCAAATCATTAGCATTCTATTTACTCTTCTACCAGAATAAAAAATGTAAACTTGCTAAGCAATTATAGCTATACGTCAAACAATATTTTGATGAACAGATACTATTCTTTATGCTTTAAGTTTATCATGTATTTGTGAGTATAATGATCATTGGTGTTAGTGTCTTACTGTGGATAGTAATTTAAGTGCATAAGGATACATGGGTTAGAAGTAGGAAACTTGGACCGGGTGAGGTAGCTCATGCCTGTAGTCCCAATGCTTAGGGAGGCTGAGTTGAGAGAATTGCCTGAGCCCAGAGGTTTAGACCAGCCTTGGCAACATGGTGAGATCTCATCTTTATAGTAAATCAAAAAATTAGCTGGGCCTAGTGGTGTGTGCTTATAGGTTGAGGTGGAAGGATTGCCTGAGCCCAGCAGGTTGAGGCTGCAGTAGCTGTGAGCATGCTATTGCACCCTAGCCTGGACAACAGAGTGAGACTCTGACTCAAAATAAAGAAGTAGTAAGCTTGGTGAAGATTTTACAAGAATACTTAAGATGACCAGGGGGCTATGGGAGATGATAGCAAGTTTTGACATATCTCTAAGTAGAATTTTGAAGAAAATAGAGACAAAGGCAGCCAAGAAGAACAAATAAAACAAAGCTTTTTAGTTAGGGTGAGGGATTGTTTGAATCATGACTTAGAAGCAAAGAATATTATAAATAAAGGAATGGTATTTGTCTTTTATAGGCTAGCTTTGTTACAAGAAGGAGGGGGGGAGAGAGGGAGGGAGAGAGAGACAGGAGAGAGAGACAAGAGAGAGAGAGGAGAGAGAGAGGGAAAGAGAGAGGGAGAGAGAGAGAGGGAGAGAGAGGAGAGAGAGAGAAGAGAGAAAGGGAAAGAGAGAGAGAAGAGAGAAAGGGAAAGAGAGGAGAGAGAGAGAAGAGAGGGAGAGAGAGAGAGAGGAGAGAGAGAGGGAGAGGGAGTGAGAGGAGAGAGAGAGAGAGGAGAGAGAGAAGGAGAGATAGAGACCCTCCTACCCCTAATATTAGAGGTAACTTTATATATAAATCTACACAGTTAGCAAGTCATGTTTTCTCAAAGCATACTATAAAATCCTGCCTGATAATGAGCATACTAACTTTTTCATTATCAAATATTTTTGTAGATGTCATTCCACAATCTATGCAAGATTTGCTGTGTATGAATAATGACTTTCCTCCAAGAGCACATTGCCTGGTAAGATGGTACGTACACATTTTATTCAGATATCTTTTAGTGTGTGCATTGGGGAAGACCCCCAAACTGACCCCAACTTAAGTGATTTGCAAGAGGACTCAGGACTCAGCGTATGGCTGATTTATTATAGTGACAGGAAGCGAAGCAAAATCGGCAAAGGGAAAAGACACAGGAGGGAAAGTCCGGAGGAAGTGCATGTTTTTTAGAGTTTTTCTGGCCAGGTGTGGTGGCTCATGCCTATAATCCCAGCACTTTGGGAGGCTGAGGTGAGAAGATTACCTGAGCCCATGGGTTTGAGACCAGCCTGGGCAACTTGGTGAGACCTCATTTTTACTATAAAT